GACTGATTTAATAGACACCTGGTCTAGGTAAATTTGTTATCCCTGCTATCATAATTAAATGTTAATGATATGATTTCACACTGCTTATAATCTCCAAAGCATATTGCTTCTACTTGCACATTACCCAGAAAAATAAAAAAAGGCTTTACTGGCCTTTGAATTATTTTCCAAGATTATTATCTTTGAATTATTGTTTTTATTCAGACACTGCCACTCCTAGTAGGGAATTTTATGGCTACTGTTGCTTCTGAGAACCACCTGAACACTGGGGGATTTATGTCACTAATCCCTGCAAGTTCAGCAAAGAGTGTGATTATTGCTGCATTTCAGCTGGAGAAAAATCTTCCAAACAGGGGCAGAACTTTTAAATGGCTTTCTAAGAATAAAAGAAATCTTTTGTGCCAAAAATACAGCTAGTGGCTTAAGTCTGTCTCCTTCTTTTGCATAGCAACAGGTCTTTTGTAGGGTTTTAGTGGCTCGGAGACTTCTCTCCATGTGTACATAGAGTTATTTTCCCTTAAACCCAGCCCCCAGAGATCAATGTGCAGCTGCCATAGGTTGCAAAAATCTTCTCTCACCACTCTACTTGGCCAAAGAACCGTTGTTACTGGTGGCTTGCTCACAGTACTTTGTGTTCTCTCTTAATTAATCAAAGACCTCTTATCTTTTCTGCACTTTACTTGTCTGACATGCGTTCCCCAAGGCATCCCAATTTGATTTCTAGGAAGAAGTGTGTTCTCTTATTGGGACCATGTGTTGCTCAGAGCCTGCCCTCTCTCCTCTCTGCAGCCCATATGAAAACCCATATTGCTTCAGACCCAGAGCACAATCTTTGAACATTCATGCTATTTTTATGGAACATAACTCTGATTTTTTTCTCCTTTCTCCCTTTTCCCCTGCACCCTCCAGCTATATCCAGCCTTGCTGAATCAAAAAAAATAAAAGAATAAATGGAAAACATATTAAAAAAAGGCTTATGTCCATATTGGAGGGGATCAACATCAATTTGCAAACTGGGAAGACTGTGTCATACCATCCAATTTTGCCTTTGGTTGTCCATACTTTTAAGATGCCTGTGCAGGTGAGTCAATGCCTGGGCACCCAAGGAGAGGACAGGGACCCCCAGTCATGTCCCCTTGTTGGAAAATCATCCAGTGGTGTCCCTCTGGAGTCCAGACTGTGACTGGTACTGTTTAATATCTTCATTAATGTCATAAAGAGTGGCATTGAGTGCACCCTCAGCACGTTTGAAGATAACACCAAGCTGAGTGGTCCAGTTGACATGTTGGAGGGATGGGATCCATGGACAGGAGGGACCTGAACAAGCTCATGAAGTGGGCCCATGTGAACCTCATGAGGTTCAACAAGACCAAGTGCAAGATCCTGCACATGGGTCAAGGTGATCCTCAATATCAGTCCAGGCTGGGAGGTGATGTGACTGACAGCAGCCCTCTGGAGAAGGACTTGGGGACTGGTGGGTGAAAAGCTGGACATGAGATGGCAACCTGCACTTGCAGCCCAAAAGCCAATGGCAGCCTGGGCTGCCCCCCCCCAGCAGGGTGGGCAGCAGGGCAGGGAGGGGATCCTGCCCCTCTGCCAGCTCTGGGAGACCCCCCTGCAGTGCTGGGGCAGCTCTGGAGTCCTCAGCACAGCAGAGCCAGGGACCTGCTGGAGCGGGGCCAGAGGAGCCCCAGCAATGCCCCGAGGGGGGAACCCCTCTGCGGGGAGCCCAGCAGGAGAGAGTTGGGCTGGGGCAGCCACAGAGGAGAAGGCTCCAGCTGGGGAGACCTGCTGGGGGCTGCCAGGACTTCTAGGGGACTTCTGACTTTCCTGATCCATTCTGGTGCAAGTTCTTCAACCCCACAGAGCTACTTCCTGGGGTCAGTATCTCTGAATCGTGTTGGAGCTATTTTTACCTGTGATCAGCTCTTGGCTTATGTGCAGCTCTATCTTTTCTCTGCATGGAGAAAAGGTTAGAAATGGGTGGTGAAGGAAGATCAGAGCCTGGCTTCAGTCTGAACCAGAAGCCAGGATTTTCTCCCAGAGCTTCATGCATTCAATGCAGTAGCCCATCTTTGACCTGGTCAGCTCTTTTCAGCATGAGCACATTGCAGAGAGGGTCAGAGCATCTGCACACAGCCCGTAGGCACACACAGATGTAGCTGAAGTAGGTCCTCCTGAGCTGCCATGTCTCTGCCCCACGAGGAGATCAAGTCCTGGGAAGAATGTCTCAGCAGGGAGCTGTAGGTCAACCCCACAAACCTGTACCTTCAAATCTTTCCTTAGTGTTGCCCCACGTTGTGAAGGATTTGAGATTCATCCTGTCCCCAAAGTGCTTCTTGTGTGCTTGTCATGTGGTTCCACCAAAGGGACTGACCAAGGGTGGTGCGTGTTCTGTGGACACCCTGGGAGATGCTGGAGAGAAGAGCAAAGGGACTGCAGGCTTGTTGTCCTTCAGGGTGATGTCCAAGCACTGAGATGCAAACACCAGCCCTCTTCTACCTGCCACCAGCCTGTTTCCCACATCAAAAGGAGCTTTCCAAGGGCAGATTTTTATGTCTCACATTTGCTTGAAGTGAACTGGAGGGAAATCTCTCCCTAGCTCCCCAACTAGTCTGCTCTGTCAAGTTACATCACCATAAGGTAATGAAGGAACCAGCTAGAGCTTTCTTGGCCACCTAATTCCCATAATGAAGAGTTCTGAGTAGAGGTGAGGGCTCTTCAAAATGAGCTAGATTCCTCCTGATCTCAATAAAACTCAGTCCCAGCCTTGAACAGATCATAGCTGAGTTGCAGCAGTGGCTCAGAAGGTGACCTAAGAAGGTGGGGAAAGGAAGAGGAATAAACTGTTCAAGCCTCAGTGAAGTTCTGGTATTCTTCAGGGCTGCTTCTGTGCTGGAGTAGCTGGAACAGGTACTTTTCTTGTTCCAACGACCCTTTTCTCATTTCCAGACTGAGAACTGACCAAGCACATCCTCATCGCTCACGTTTCTTTGGAAACAAACCTTAACTCTCACTCTGAACTGAGAGACTGAGGTCATCAAGGGATCTCTAAAGCCAACCATATCAGGGTAGGAACCCAGATTTCCTCTCTCTGGGCCACAGCTGCCCAACAGCATGGTGAATATATCAATATTTTTATTTTAACAGTGAGAAACCCATAGAAAACCCCATGGAATTGTAGAAATAAGAGAACTCTTAGCTGCCAAAGCAGTAGAGTGCTGAGAGTTGGGCAGGATTGTGCCCATAACTCATTTTTTTTTAAAAAAAATTGCCAGATTAATAGGCATAATCAAGAGTGACATTGAGTAAGAGGCAAGAGAGACTAATCAGATGCTAAGTTAGCTGATGCTGGCATTACTGAAAGCTTGGGAACATAGTCCAAGGATAAAAACATAATGTCTTATCTAACCAAGGAGTCATTTGTGCACCACTAGTTACAACATGTCCTTAAAAAAATGAAAGAAGGAAGAAAAAAAAAAAAATCTGTGTCACATGAAATTATTTTATGTCCCAGAAATGATAAGAAAATAAAGCTAAGTGTTCCTGCAGCCAATCTTTATAGGGGAAAAGCCTGTCTAGAGTTAACCCATTGCACTGTGAGTCCCCAGGAGATGGAAAAATCCTTTAAAAAAAAAAAAAAAGAAATAAAATAAAATAGGGATGAAATCAAAATGAGTATATCTAAGTGATTTCAAAACTCAGTTTTGGCATATTTCTTGCTATTTGGAGACCACTAGGATACACGAGGCCACCTTACTCGTCGGTTCAGTGAGAGTTCAGGCGGTCTGGCAATCCTCTTCTTTTGGCCAAGGTTCCTTTTCTGGCAACACTTCTCCCTGTTTCTCAAGAACCTTTTTTTTTTTTCTTCCTCCAGATTCAACAGGATGTTGAACTGGATCTTGTGGGGCAGGTCATGGAAAGGAAAGGCCCTCTGACACAAACCATCGTCACCAGAGAGGGAATTGTCATGTCAGGGAAGGCATCTGGAGGATGAAACCAGGAATGAAACAAGGACTTCAAGCTACATGGCTTTGCATGGGTGTGTTTTATTTCCAGGCTTTTGCAGCACAGCTCATAGGTCTTAACAGGGAAAGAACTTCTGTGCAAAACTCAGTAAATTAAAAACCAAACCACAGCCCTGTGGGGAAACACTGGAGTTGTATTTCCATAAGAGGGACCTTTCCCAGAAAAGCCAGGCACGGGTCAGTGTGAAATGCAACACCACACATCTGCAAGGGAGTCTGCCCGGATCCTTCCAGTCTTCTCCCATTTCCATCACTGGCCACTGCTTGAAACCTTCTGCCCTAACAACTGGCAACCACAGCCCAGCTCTTTCTCAATGGGAGCTCTGGGAGACTGGGGCTGCCTGGAGTCAAGAGGGATAAGACACAGGTGACAGGGCCAGCACAGGGGGGAGAAGTCAGCTCCCCTCTGCCTAGGGGCAGGGTGAAGCCATGCAGATGGCTGTAAGAAAGCCTCATTTTCCCCTTCCAGCCACAACTCCGGGTGTGATCCTGTGTGGAGAACCGTTGGTGTCTCATGGCAACGCCTCAGGTCCTCAGGCAGTGGTGACCCCAACTCATTGTCTTCACCACCTTCAAGTGACATCATTTGGTCTTCTTCCAGGGGCTGGTAGCCAACCACAGGAGGTACCATCCTCTTGGCTGCTCTTCGCCGTGCCCACCGCCTCGCCTGGAAGGGCGGCGCGCGGGCGTCAACGCCTCTCCACGGCCCTTCTCAAAATGTTTGCACAGGAGCCACCATAAAATGGGCTGTATTGACCCAAAGATGCAATCCAAGTCGCTGGAGTCTAGGCCTTATCTCCAGCCCGTTATCAGGAGCCAGAGAAGCACAGATGCACCCCGGGAAGGGAGGGGACTGGAGGGGAACGGCTTCGGCCCTTCTCCCCTGGCACGGGGAGGGGACTGTGGGCAGAGCTGGGTAATGATTTGTCATCCCCAGGGCTGGGGTGTCTCTCTTTGCAGGGGAAACCTTGGCCGTGATTGACAGCGGGGCTGGTTTCTGCCTCTTCCCTGGCTGGTGACAAGTAATAATGAAGCTTTGTCAGTCCATCATGGACATGGATATGCCCGATTATGTCGACTCCTTGGAATCCTCTTACACCATGCTGGAATTTGACAACCTCCGGGTGCTTCCCAATAACACCGGTGAGATTTCTGTTTGCTTCCTCTTGAATATCCTCCTCTACCTTTGTTGTAAAGCTGAGCGCCTAGGAAAGGCAGGTAGGAGGTGTGGGGCAAAGGGTGGAAGGGGTAATGTTTAAGCAGCTGACCTGTCAACTTCTGTTACTTCTGCAGTTATATCTGGGCTGAAATGGGACCCCCTCCACTTTCCGGCCCTATTCTGAGTTATTCTTCTCCTTGGTGGGCTGAGCCGTGTCCTAAAGAGCCCACAAAGCACTGCAAATGTTGGTAGAGCTCTTCATGGCACACGCCGTAGGTTTGTCCCCTTGGATGTTTTAAGAGAGGAGCTATTATCAATCTTTTGTCCTTAAAATGTATATTTCATTCCCCTATATGACTTAGGTTCATAATTAAACCTTGGAAAAAAGATGCCATCTCAACTGGCATTTGTCTGTTACTCAGACAATACATCATGTGCCCAACTTAACTTCTTCCTAGCTATTTAGATTAAGAAGCAATATCCAATTTGTAACTTGCCTTAATTCTTTTCCTGGCTACCAAAATGGTCTTACAGGTGCCCTTACAGCACACAAAGACCTTGGCTGCGAGGTGTGAGCGTTTATGTCCAAAGAATTCAATTTTTTTCCACAGAAATAAAGTGTGGTGGGTGATATTTAGCTTTGGAGCAGTCAAAAATACTCTGTTGTGGAGCAAATGTTACTCTGTGGCATTAACTACTTCTTGTGTGAAAAAATAAAGGAGGTTTTACTCTCCTAGCACAAACCCAACCACGTAACCAAAGGAGATACCCCTGTTAGCAATGCCTCTGGAGAGTTTCAGCAGAGTTTTGTTTCGTTGGTTATGAAGCACAGTGAAATTAAGATGGGATTTTCAGGGCTTTGCATTTGCTCGTTAGCTGCCTCATCAGAAGAAATCAGAGTTCCAGCAGGGCTATCATCTAGAGTATAAAATGATTAGACTTATTATTGTGGGACTAGAGGGATGTCAGGAGGCAAGTAAAGTGAAAAGGCCCAGAGAAATCTGAATTGGAAGTCGACTTCAAGAAAAGCTCTGTCTGTCCCCAAATAAAGGATTTTCAATATATATATTTTTTTTTTTTGCCAGCTCCAGACAAACAGGATTTTATTTCTTATTCTTGCAGAAAGGTTTCCATCTGCCTTCCTCCTCCAGACGTGTTATTTAACACAGATGTTTCTCTTTGTCTCTTGCTGCTCAACAACAAGACACTTTTTACTTTTTAGAGTAGTACAAATTCCCTCCAAATTCAATATAATTTTGCAAATTAACTACAAAAAAACCCCAACAACCCTATTTGGGTCTCCCTGTTGTTTCATGCAGTGGAACTGACAGGTTGAGTTTTTTTTCAGAAGTTTATCTAGATCAGTATTGTGTTATTTGTCTAGCTGTTAATGAGTAACTGGTTCTCTCAGGAACTAGCTGTTTTGAAATTAGCTTGTTTGTCTTTGGGTAAGTGTCCTCCTCTATAGTTTGTAAAAATAACTTCAAAAAAGACCTGAAACGTCCATGTATGGGAATATGTTGCTAACCAGTGGAGTCCAGTTCCCATCGTTTACTCAAAATAACAGCTCACACAGATACTCTATGCAGTTTCAGAAACAGTTTTCAAAATGGTGAGAATTCAAGAAATAATCTCACTTTAGCTGTTTTAAAAAATATATTGGTTTGGTTGAATCCATCTCTTTCCCATGATGAGAGGTTTGTCTCTATGATTTCCCCTACAAAAATCTAATGACAGTTTTGCCCTCCATAAACACGATCAGGAAGAGGTGCAATATTTATTTCAGGGCTGATTTCCTACATCCTGAACAATTTTAGAAGTGAAAACGAGAATATTTTCAAATTAGGTCGTGCTTTCTTGAAACCAACAGTTTCCTTCTTTGGAACACTATTTCATCAATATTTTGGGTTGATTAATAAGGTGGAGCACTGCTGGTGCTCAACTTGCTGCTGCAGGGAGCTGCTATCATTGTGGGATTTGCCTTGGTATATAGTTTGGATTTTTCATCTTTGAGTAGCCCATAATTTGTCAAATATTTTGAGGCTAATTCAAAATCAAGAATAGAATCCATTATGGGGATGGAGGAGTATAAAAAATTGCCTGTTTTAAACAGAAAGAATGGCAAAAGGAAACGAACAAACCCCAATGTTAATTCTGACTTTCCTTTATAAAATATCTGTTGTAAGTGCAGAAATTTTCCTGTTTTGTACAGATTTCTTTCCTTTACCTTGGCTAGCATTACATATTCTCACTTGAGTTTTATGTGCTGTTAATGCCCATTTCCTCAGGCTCTTGTCAAAGTTGTCATTTTGCTTTAAATATGAGGCATTATTGAAATATTGCACAAAGTCTTCAGCTGAGTGCTGGTGAACACTTTCTCCTACGGTGGTTCTTGTTCACCTGTCTCAGCACTCAGCCACCACCACGATCCTTGGGCCTTTGGAACAACCTTGGTGAAACACAGTTCCCAGCCTGACCATGAAAAAGCCATCAAAGATGTTTTGACAGTGCCTCAAGCTCCACGTGTGCTTGTGAGGAGCTCTGACCTTTCCATCAGACCTCTTCACCGTTGATACTGTAGGATTTGGGAGCACCAAAGCAAAGCCACGGTTTATATCCCAAAAACTCCCCCCTCTATTTGCTAAAAGCTGATGTAGAAAGCAGGTGACCTGCCCATGGCCAGGGCTTCAGTGCTACCCCCCATCCAGCCCTACATCTGTGTGCACTGGTTTCGCAATGCTGGTTTTGGCCCAGTTTGACTCTGTCTGTGTGTGCCCTAAACCCACATTTATGATCTCTTTACATTCTAGTCCATGTCATTCAGTGTCCTAGCCCATGTAATTCAGGGGTTTGTTAGCTGTACATTACACACACACCACGGCTGCCTTGGATTTCTGGGTAGATAAGAGCAAAAGCCATTCTGGAAAGTATTGCAAAATCATTTCATACAACGTGCATCTAGAAGAGCAGCCAGTAACACAACTGGAAGGAAAAGCAGCAAAGAGGTCTGCAGGGTTCAGCTCCAGCTCTGGGTGGAAGCCAGGCATCATTCCTCAGCATCCTCCTCACTGAGATCATCCTCACTGTCACTTCTTACCACTGTAAGACTTGGCATCTTGATTTCAGCCCTGTTTAGGTCGTGACTTCAATACAGAAGCAGTAGGTGACAAATGTTTGTATGCATTTCAGTTGTGAGTTGGGTTAACTTGAACTAATTGCTGAGCTGGTGGAAGCACTCATCACTGGGATGCTCTCATCAGCATGTAGTTCCCAGTCTTCAGGCTGCATATAGATAACCTGAAAAAAAAAATGGTTGAAACTTCAGATTTTTTCTGCTAGTGAATACTCGGGACAGTCCTAGTGAGGAGTCTGGCCACAGCCACAGGTCCTCAGCTCACCCTGGGACCCGCACAAGGTCAAGGTGAGTTATGGTTTCTTCTTGGAGAATGTTACTGGTTGTATTTCTCTCCAGGAGAGATTTCAGAGGCACTGTGGCACAGCTTAGCAACTGCTCTGTTACACCATGGTGATGAGCATCTATAACCAGCACACACCTCTGAGCATCTTTCTCCGGGGTGGCGTGGATGGTTGTGAGCTTGTTTCAGTTGTTGTGAGCCAGCTGGACTCTGCCCAGATCCATCCTAGCAGCCCTTGAGCACCGTCTCAGCGTGGTGCTGAGCTCCAGGTTAGCAACCCCTCTACACGTTGAATGAAGCTCTGAGCAGGTTATCACCTTGTGCCTGGCAATGGTGCCTCTCCTGGCAGTGATCAGCCCAGGGGAACCCCAGACATTCCCCAAACACTGGGGAGGTCTGGAAGCCACATCAAACCAGACTTCTGTTGCACACAGTATTGGCTGTGCCTTTGCTCTTCTCTGAGCTCATTCTCATCATCAGCTGGTGACAGGATTCTGGAATTAAAATTTACCTTCATAATTATCAATTAACATGTGCATACTGCCTTAGGGCTTTATTTATTTTAATTTCTGTCCACATTCAGCCAAGCTGAGGACATGTAGCTACCTAACGGGGACAAAAAATTTGGTTTGCTAACTCCCATGAGCCCTCACATGGTCTGTGCTGATGGTCCTTCCCCCAGTAATACTTGATATAAAGCCAGATTATTAATTTCTTCCTTATATCAGCAAGCAGCTCCTCATAAGTCCTATTCCCACAAGGGAAAAAAAAGTCTTCTCTGGAGTGTGCTTTCCAACAAGAGGAACATTTTGCAATCTGGACCCAGGTTCTCTTGGAGACCCAAAATTTATGACCTTGGCTCGATTCCTCTGAAGTCAATAGAGAAAGCGTGAGTGGAGCGAAGAGAAAATTGGCCTTCTTATCTTTATTTTTGTTTTTAAATGGGATCCAGCACACTTGGCCTATTTGTTTATGGTCACATGTGTCTTCAAAAAAAAAATAGATGGAGCAACAGAGGCACAAACATTTAGCAGTACAGTTAACCTCAAAGGAATATTCTAGTACCCCATATTTAATAGAGTTATCAAGCAAAATAAAATGAAGAATCAATGTAAAAAAAACCCTAAAAATCAACATAAATTACCATTAAGCACCTCAGGCACAATGTTCCCAAAGGCCCCAGGTGGCACTTGCATCAGAGTTGGGAGCATCTGATGTGGATTTTGGGAACAGGTAGACCTCAATTCCTATCATGATGACCCAAGAATAATTTTGCTGCTGTCATTCTTTCTTGACGTGTTGCTCCCATCTTGGTACAACCTACTTATTTATTTATCCATGTGCTAGAAGGTAAATACAGATTTAAAGGTTTTTAGGAGGGGGTGAAAGGAAGTCTGACCTTTGCCTTTGTGAAGACTTAGGTAAAAATCTCTTAGCTTTAACATTAGCTAAAAAAACTTTTAAGTTTTTGAAAAACTAAAGCTTTATTGGCCTTTTTTTTTTTCTTTTGATGACAATTTTCATTGCATAGCAAATATTTTCACTCTAATTTTTTGACGTGTATTCATATACAGAAATAGCCTTCTCTCTCTCTCTGTACATATACATGTTGTGTGTGGATGACCCAAAGCTATTTTTATGCATTATAAACCAGAAAACTTTCTCTAGACTGCCCAGATCAGATGCCATTCCTCCCCTCTGAGTCATTTTCTTTAAGATTTGTCATTGCTCAACACAACAGCAGCTGAGCTTTCCTCGTCTCCTTCATGAGGCAGGATGCATCTTGTCCCAGAGACTTTGCTGAGGTCACTGTAGCACGAGATCAGCTCCCCTGGAGCGAAGAACATCCTCCCAGATGGGTGATAAATTCATCAAACCCTCCTGCAGTGAGTGCCCAGGTCAGGACAGACTCCACAAACATTCCTCTTCCCAGTGAGATGTAAACACTGTCATCTGGGTCTTCTCAAGTGTCTCCTTTTGGGGTTTTTTTCCTTCCCCAAGCTGTGCCTCAAATTAGTGGGATTAGGAGGGCAGTGAGTCTGGTGGTTAAGGCCAAGGGAGAGGTTTCAAGGGGAGTTTTCAGCAGTGTATACACAAGCCAGGCAGAGGCAGAGCTATTCCTGCCCCAAATGAGTGGGTGCAAGCAGAGGACATGACAGAGGGCATTCATATGACCTAATTTTAGGTCCCTAATTTAGAAGGTCAATCTTCCTGCACTCCTCTGTTGCCTTCCAGTGGAAAGCAATGAGCCTCTTCAGAGGGTGATTCAGAGCTGGAACCAGACTTAGGAGAACTGAAGTTACCCCTGTGGGAGATGCTGTCCCTGTCTTCCAGCTGCAGAAGAGCTCTCAAGAGCAGCCTTTATATCTCCAGCACCTCTGCCATGAGCTTGTTCATCCTTCCTGCCTCTGCTGCCTCTTCTCTGCTTCCTACTTCTTCAAGTCCATGATGTTCCTTCCACTGTCTTCTGCGGGCACCAGCTTTGAACCATGTTCTTCTGGTGTCTGTCTGGGGAGGTGGCTCCCCATCCCTCAAAAGCATTTCTCTCACCTCTAGGTAAGGTTTCTCTGCATATGTCAAGACAAGTAGTGGCAGTTGTTAAAGTCTCATGAGCGTGTTGGCTCGTGAAGTTTGAAATCTGTTTGCTGAAGGAAAGTAAAACACTAATATCAGAAGCAAAGCAACTGAGCCACTCTCAGTTGAGGTTGAGAAGAACATGACCATCAAGCTGGAGGTGCTTTGCTTTGCCTAAAGAAGCTAACTTGCTGTCAGCTGATTCTGGATTCTATCCCAGAGAGGTCTAATGGTCTCTGTTCCCTGCCCACAGAGACCATCACAGCCGAATCAGCAAACACCAACCTGCTGACCAATGGCCTCAGCTCCCTCTGCTCCATCTGTGGGGACCGGGCGACCGGCAAACACTACGGGGCCTCCAGCTGTGATGGCTGCAAAGGCTTCTTCAGGAGGAGCGTCCGCAAGAACCACGTCTACTCCTGCAGGTACCTGCCCTTGCCACGTTAAATACATGCAATGTAGTGATGCTGTAAATATTTTAGGGTGGATATCAGGTTGTACAACAGGGTCCCCAGCCCAAACGCCACGTTACCAGGCCAACGTTCACCTTGCAGGTTAGTTTGTGGCTGGAGGACAGGGAGCCAAGGAGTAAAGTCAGTCCTATCTCATCTTGGGCCCTGACACCTTTTGTGGCATCAAGGATCTATTTAGCAAGTTCAGCATCACTGCTTTCCTCACAATGTAAATCAAGGTCTGACTAGCATGTATAATGACAGATTTTGGGTGTAGAGTGACACCCTGGCCTCACCACAGCCCAGCAAGGGAAAGCCAAGGTGGCAACGGACCAAATCTCCAGAGACTTCATCTCAAACACAGTATATCTTGATTTTCTTGGTAAAAAGCAACGAGCATCCAAGAGCCTGTCAACTCCAAAGCCTCCACCTCCCCCACAGCTTCTCCATTTTTGTTTTAAAATGCATCAAACTATGCACAGTGACATACCACTGATGATTTTACAATCATTCTGAGAACCCAGTGTGGACCAGTGATGATTCATGTCCACTTTGGCACACAGGTATGCATTTGAGAGAACCCTTTTACCAGGAGGAGGTTCTAAATTATAAAGCAGATATCTTGGTTGACCTTAGCAAAGTGGTGTTTGTTTTAGCACAGGAGGAAGGAGGGGGGAAAAAGAAGAATACACTCAAGCTCTTCACCTCTGATTAAATCCTGGAAGTTTTCTTGCTGTTCCAAAGCATTTCCTCATTCAAGGGTGTTCCAAATTTTTGCCACAGGAGTCACCTTGTTTGTTCAAAATGCTGCTGGGGTCCTTATCAGTCCAGCACACACCAGCCATGAAAGGCACCTGGGGTGACGGCAGCATCCACCCACACAGTGCCCATCCCAGGCACCGTGGGATCCCTGCAGGAAGAGGCAACAGCTCCTACTGAATTCTTTGAAATTTCAGCTATCAGTCTCCTGGGCATGGAGCTGTTGCCCCTCCCTGGGAATCTGTGAATCTCTGTGATATTTGGCAGCTGAAGGAAGATCCACAGCATCGAAGCCAAGGAAATGGCAAAGGTTTGCGTGTCTGCAAATCCTTATTTGGTGAGCTGTGCTGTGCTTAGCCCAGCTCAGAGCTCTGCTGTTTATCACAGACCTGAATTCCTTGGAAAGTCTTTGGGCCTTTATACTATTGGCTTTTTACCAGCCTGGGAAAGTGCCTCAGCTTTTACAACCTGCTGATGGTCGTGGAGCATCCCACGTCGTCTCCTCTCTGCGTGGCAGATTCTTCTTCCATCTCTTCACCCACCGTGGCAAGAGCTGCCAAGTCCACGTGGGCCATGTCTTGAACAGCACTTACTTAGGTTCCTAAGTCCTCTGTTGAAGTGGACAGGAATTAGGAGGCCACATGTCTCAAAACTAGGCTGCAGGCACAAACGGGCTTGTGGTCCATGATGTAATTATTCTACTTGAAGTTGGATGGAGTTAACGAGGGACCATACGAACCCTGAACACCCAATAAGTGTCTGAACGTGGGAGATGGAGTTCCTACACCAGCACAAGTTGAGTCACAATCATTCTTTCACAGCCAAAACCATCACAGACCTTGCAGGGTGGGTGGTCTGAAATCCCTGCACTCCCAGCGGGGAGGAACGGCGGTGGAGAAGATGAGGAACTGGGCCAAGCCAACATCCGTTCAATCTGTTGCTTGCAAACCTTTTGCTCTTCTCTGGGTTCAGGCAACGTGTAGCTCAGAGGGGTCTGGAGCTGTGTTTGGGGCTGCTCAGGGTGCTGATGCCAGGCTGGTTGCTCCATGTTTTATTTCCCATGTCCACCCAGGTTCAGCCGACAGTGTGTGATAGACAAAGACAAGAGGAACCAGTGCAGGTACTGCAGGCTGAAGAAGTGCTTCAGAGCTGGCATGAAGAAAGAAGGTAGGTGCAAAGAGACATTTCAAAGCTCCCTGCTGCTGGTTCTGGCCCTGCTCCCACTGCAGAGCGTGGTGGAGAGCAGCAGCAGCCCTGGCCCAGAGAGATGATGCTCGTGTGTTGCAGGGAGAGATTTCCTCTTGCTGCAGCTGGGCATAGCATGCTATAAAGCCACCACGAGCACTAGTACTGAAGGACCAATCCAATATTGGCTGATGGCCTTTTTGGCATCCAATTTGATGCCAAATTGGATGTTGCACTTCACATCAGCTGTATTAAGAGGGAGGTGGAGCGTTGTAGAGCGTTTGGGTATCGGTGACCATCAGGAAGTGACCTGCCAATTCACTAGAGGACATAAAAAGTGTTACAGTGCCTATGCTAAGCAAGAGAAAAAACACTCCTGTTAATTTATGCCTTCATTCCCTACAGCCAGCTTCCCTGGGAAAAGTTAGGGACCTATCACAGCACTCCTGATCTCTGCTCATTCAGCCTTTGCATAGTGGGAGAGCACGGATGGTTCTGTTTTACTTGCTCCAAACTTTCTAGGCAGAGATTGTCTTTGTAAACTGCTCAGCAAACTGGGGGGTCAAACCCACAACAGATGGTGAATCCCCCTGATGTGCATGTAGTGGGGTGATGGTTTCAGCACTTTCCACCCTTCATTTGTGCTGCTTTCCAACCCACCAACAGCTGAAGAGTGAGGGAGCTAGAAAGGAACTCGAGAAGTTCTTTCCACACCACTGAGTTAAAACACCCCCTTACCCAAGAGATGAAATCATGGTCCCACTGAAACCAAGGGGAAATTTGCCACTGATTTCTGGTAATCTGTAAGATTTCACTGGTGATGAAAAAATCTTTCCAACCTTCTGACCATATGTTTTCCTGGAGAAGAAGGATGTCTTGAAATTTGGCATAAGTGATGGATGTAGCAAAAGTGCCTGCTGGTTTAATTTAGGAGAAATGGAGCAAATGTTGCAAAGGGGGGAAAAAAAAATAGCCTTTGAAGTAATAAAGACCAAACCAAAGCTGATCTGGTCAGTTCTAGATGGGGATGAAGCCAGATGCCAATGCAGCAAGCTCCACAGCTTGGAAAGGCTGAAATCTGGTTATCAGCTCCATTCTTTGAGCCGAAGCATGGTTTTTATTTGGTTTATGGTAAAAGTTATTAAACCTTGGCTCACACTGTCATTATTGATTGCCACTCGATGGGAGATGACTCATTTCAAGTTCCACATAGTCACATTCTTTGAAACTTTATGAGTGCACAGTCAGGTTGCGTGCTCAGAAACGACTCGTGTGTTTGGTGAGGAAGATTTTAAAGCACCTTGAGCAACTGCTTTGAGGAAATTAGCTTAGCTGACCAGAGCTCTATCCAAAGCATGTGTGCAGGGCTGTGAAAGAAGTTTTCTTGCACAACTGTGTGCACAAAAAGAACACAGTTATTTGCTTTAGGGTGGTTCTAGATTAATATTAAACAGTATTGCGAAGAGTTAGGGGAAGAGCGAAGCCATGGCTTGGGATTGAGTAGTGGGAGGATGATACCAGAGTTTGTGAGCAGGATTTTGGTGGCATGCACTGATTCACAGGGAGACCACCGCTGTGACATCCACACTCAGAGTATCCCATTGTCCCACCACGGGCATGCAAGAGTTTGAGACTCTCTGGCACACCGCTTTCCACCCAGGCCATATAACAGCAGTCAGACTTTCCAGGGTGTGGTAATAGCATTGTTTATTCACAGCAGAGGGGAAGAAGCTGGAAACGATCCTTTTCCCAGCCTGTTTGTGACAATACACCTGGGGTGGGGTTGGCAGGGTGGTGTCACCCTCGAATGTTCCCCACTGCCAGCGCCCCACTGACCCGTTGCTTCCCCAGGGGGTGTGCAACATGGGAAAACTTGCTGTTCCCCAGCAAAACCCACTGAGAAACTGGAATTTTGGATCCAGAGTGACTCCCCCCCCACTCCCCCAGTCGTCCTGTGTTCTTAGACATGACGTGACACATTTGGATCTTTCTTCTTCTCTTGTGTTTTTTATTTTTTTTTTTTTTCTATTTTGGAAATAATTCTAGTGGAGGTGAAATTGAAAGGAGTTACATTATCTAGCCTGCTAGAAGGGAAATTTCTGCTTCAAGAAAAACCTCTGTGATGCAAATACACAAGCTAGCTTTAAATTGGCTGTCTATAGAGGCAGCAGTGTCCCTGGAGGGCTGAGGGTCTCAGCATGGGCTGGCCCTGGAGCACAGTGCAGTCAAGCTATAGGTTGGCTAAGGGTTTGGGGCAGCTGGGCAGAGGTTGTTGAGAAAAGCATCAGTAGGGCCCTTAGATTGTCTTGTTTGTACATTCTGAATTTGATCCTGCTTTCCAAAAGGACCAGGAATGTCCCACACGAGCCCTAATCCTCCAGGCTCGTGCGTCAAGACGTGATCCAGGGTCCATCAGTGCCAGTGAAAGCAAGAATGGGCCAAAACTTGTGGAAAATCCAGTTCCCAGTTTTCCTAGAAATTAGCTCATTCAGAAAGACTCTTATCCTGATTACATTTTTGGTATCAATAATTCACTTTAATAACTACAAGTCAACAATCATTAAAGTTGGGATGAGGGGAGAGGAAAAGGCTTGACTGAAGAAAAAACCCTTCTTGTGTTCTGAAACACCATGAGGATCAGGATTTAAGACTTCCACAGGAGCTTCACACCTTTATTCTTGTTTTTTTGGTTAAGGCTGAGACTTTACGGTGGTTTAGGTGTTTTGGGGATTTTCTGGCTGTTCTCTGCAGAGGAGAGGTTTGATTTCTATTGTTTTGCTCAATGCTACCAGACAGGTTTTTGGCCACTACAGCATCAGGGGATGAGGAGTGCACCAGATACTGAAAAATCCAAAGAAAACAGCAGGATACTATTTTTAGCATCTTTCTGAGATCATGGTTAACCTTAAATGAATTACCAGGGTGTGATTTTTGAAGTGAGCCAGGTCATCTGCTCACGTGGAGTCGAGCGTCTGAAACCCTGGAAGGCTTTTGAAATGCCACTGTCAGGATTCAGCTTGCTGGTGAAAACAAGAGGGGTTAATATTTAACCTCTTATCCCCTTTAAAGTGATTTATGAATGTACATGAACTCCTTTAGTTTCACACAGAAGCAAAAAGAATTATTGTATCACTTGCTGCCACAACACAGTGAGAAGACTTGAGGCTATTTTTTCCTTTATTTTGGTTAAATTGGACAGGTTTATAGGACTGTTTTATTAATGTTTCATGGGACCTCTATCTTGTTTCATACCTTTTGTTGGCCCATTCCCCTACCAGCTTTCAGAAGGCTGGGACTGCAGTTTAATGCAAAGATGGATGGAAAAGATAAAGGATCTTCCCTGCTTGGCGATAGTCATAAATCAGACCAAAAGCCCATGAAAGGATTAAATGGGCAGGTACCATTGGGATTTATGTTCAGGTAAAATACACCACACCTACAAAATCAGAGGCAGCTTGGGGAAAATAATTATCCCTGCATATCAATTAAACAGGCAGCAGAAGGGGTAAATCTCTTGGTGGAGACAGAAACACTGAGAGCTGGTGAATGCCAGCACCAGGCTGGGATGCCCTCACCTCCCTCCTCCTGCTCTCTGTGCCATTTGTGACTATGTTTCCAACTCCATCAGGGCTAAATGAGGATGGTTTTAGTGGAGTAGTAATGGACATGGTATCTCCTATGTAGGGAAGGGCTTTAACCTCTGCAGCTGCCGTGGAAAGTTACTGGTTTGCTGCTGTCCCCTTCCAACCAGTGCCTGTGTTTATTGGACTCCCCGGAGGTTCCTCATCACAGGCTTTGTACCTCTGTGGCAAGGCAACAAGGACAAAATGTTTGGGAACCGTGGGCTTGTTGCAAGGCCACAAACACGCCTCTGTTTGCTCAAGAGCCACCAGAGGTGCCCCACAGCCTGCCCAGCCATCAGCATCCTTCACATCCTCATGGCAAAAGGGTCCAAATTGGCTCTGAATAACAAAGCCCCTCCAACAGCTCCTCTGCAGCAGACAGAGAACATGGGTGAGCAAAGCTTTTGCCAGGCACACCCTGGAAATAGGAGTCCCTGGGAGATGGTGGGATCCAGCACTGGGATTTCAGTCCTTCTTGTGAATGTGCTGAGTTTTATTGAGTCCAAAGCCAAGCTCAGGTCTGAGCCTGCGCACCCTCAGCACGCCCGATGCCTCACCACGAGTGACCTATCCCTTCCCTTTTACAGGCACAATAAATACAGCAATATAATTACCACACAGTAATAGATGGATTTGGTGGCAGGTGAAACATTAACTCCCTTTTGTACCTAATTCCATCACATCTTGGGTACTTTCAGCGATAACACCCGAATCACCTTGAGAAAGTCAGTCTGTGCCATCCACTTACACTTGAAGATTGAGCTTATCAGAGCATGAGGGAAGCACTGAAATATGTGCCATAAAAAGGATCCAGGAGAAAAACAGGCTGAGGCTTCTTAAAGGAGTCTGTCATCAGGGAGTAGGACCAGGTCTGCCTGGGTTTGTAGGACTTCCGTAAGATAAGATGTCTAAGTCAGTTAGAAAGGCAAAATTTGTACCTTTTCTTGGAAGAGGGCAAAAGAGTTCCCTCAACCTCAGAGAATTAGGTGGGGAAGCACTGGTATGAAACCAGGTATAGAAGGTTGGGTGGGGACTTCCCAAGGATGTCAGCGAGGACGTGGATTTGGGTGGGCTTGTTGCTGCTCAGTGTTCGATGCTGCTGCTCGTCTTGCCGGTGTACCAAAAAAAACCCCATGAATTTGTTCTGGAGATGAATCATAGGTGATGGTTCCTATAACCACCTTCACCTTCAGATGGTGGAGGTCCCTCTCTGAGCAGCCTTTTCCAACAGCCCCCATGCATAGGGTAATGTGTGCTGCAGTCTGAGGTAGGTTAGCAAAGCCTCCCCAGGGCTGTTGGTTTTTTTTTTCTCTAAATTGATGTCTGATTTGCTCTACATAGTACCCAAACCCTGAAAAGGCTCCAGAAATATGTACGTGTGTTGCATCTTTTACAGATCAATGCATCATCCAGCCCCTTGCAGCCAGTCCAGCAAAGTTGGCTCTGAGCTGCAGAACACCTTGGGTGGCTGGACCCCAACAGAGCCCCTACCCAGGGGGGGTGCTGACTGACAGCAAGGCAGAGCCCCAAATCCTGGCAAAGCCATACTACGCTCCTGCCTGGAACAGGAGATATTGATTTTTGTCACTGTTGCTTGTTTTCTGACCTTTCACTTTGTTGGCCACTCATCAGAGGCTGGTTGAGAAAACAGGTCAGTGGTTGGACCTGAGCTGACCAAAAAAAAAGCCCCCAACTTCCCACCCCGCTGTGTGCGACACGGAGCTCACAGGCTCCTCCTCTGCATGAATTCAGAGCACCAAATGTCCAAAGAGAGGTGTTTGCCCTAAAGCAAGGCCCAGCAGCCAGGCAAAAGCCTTGAAAGAGGGATAGTGAGAAGATTTTGCTGATTTGACAAATATATAAAAAAGATTGCTGGAAAAAATCTCCCTTTTGAGACAAACCCCCACTGCTTCGCATCCAAGGGGTTAAAGCTCCCAGAGTGTGGGGCTTTGACAGTTATGTCTGAGTCATATCCCCTAAATAAAACCAAAAGGAGCCTGGAATGGCTGGATGAAGGAGGAGGGATGTGTTGCATTATCACCACATGCTAAATCTTCCTGTTCCCTCTGCTTTAAGGACCTGACAATGACTTCCTGAGCTCTACGTAGCCCAGACTTAGGGAAATGCTGAGTCTGTGTCCAGGCTCCTGTCTCCATCCCCACATGGACTTGCTTGATGCTGGATGGAGGCAACAGGGCTTGGGGGAGAAACTAACAGAGAGAACAAGGTTGGACTGAACCTAAATTCTGCCTTTTTTCTCTGCTGCAGTTTGACTTGATGGCTGCAGTGGAGGGCAGTCAATTCGTGCAGCCTGTGTTGCAAAAATAAGCTGCTCAAGTGCAATAACTGCCTGACGTTCAACGTGCAGGGTTGACAGAGGATGGGGGTGGAATGGACCTCAAAAATCAGCTTTTTGGGTTTTTTTTTTCCTAATTTGCCATGGCATGGCCATACCTTTCTGTCTGCAATGAGCCCAGGGCTGAGCTTCACTGTTTTTAACAGTTCAGGATACTCTGAGCTGCTCTGCAGCAGTGATTTGCACGAGGTGCCAGCAGAGCTGGAGACAAGCCTTGGTTTGGATCATTCCCTCAGCTGTGTGCTGGCATCACCATCGGGGTTCCAGGCTCAGAGAAAGCAGCAGCAGGCTGGGCAAGGCTTGGGGAATGGTTTTAAGGGGGAATCAGCAAATTTAAGCTTCTTTTCTCTGGAGCTTCCTCAACGAGGTGACTCTTCCTGCTCCCTGTGAGTGGTGGTGTCCTCTGGGGACCATCACCTGCCTCAAGTGGAGGGGACACTTCAAGGCTGCTTTGAGGTGGGATCAGAGGATGGTTTTCAAGTACTGCTGTAGGACAAGGGGCAACTTCAAGAGCATCCTGCTACACTGGGGGCTCAGGAGAGGATGCAGAGATGGCCAGAAGTGTATCAGAGGCCAGGACTCCAGCAGCAGGTGCATTGCCAAGTGAGAAAGGTTGACATCAAATCCCCAAACTCCCCCTGAGCTGCATCAAACCCAGTGGGACCAGTTGATATCCCACAGGGCTTGTTCCAACTGCCAAATAAATGGCCTGATCTCCCTCTGTTGCTCCTGTGCTTGATCTCCTCCCTCTTTGGTGGCCTTTCCCCCTCCCCTGGTGCCTGTTTAATTTTATTCCAGCACCCAACAGGAGTGGAGGGTCTTGCAAGCACTAAAGCCTCATCCATTCCACTTTGGGGACCACAATCCCAGCAGCCATCAGTTGTGCAGGAACTTTCTGGCTAACACACCCACGTCTGGCTCCCCTTTCAGCCGTGCAGAACGAGCGTGACAGGATCAGCATTCGCAGGAGCAGCTATGAGGACAATGGCTCCCTCTCCATCAACGTGCTCACTCAGGCTGAGGCCATGGCACAGCAGGTATGAGACGTGGGGACAGCCCTCCAAAGAAGTTCGTGGCCTTCAGGTATTCCATAGGGGGTTAGGAACTCACTAAACCCAGGGCTGGATCTTCTTCTGCTCTTGGATGGCTCCTGCACAAAGCCACAGGGAAGAAAATCATAGCGTGGAAGGGACCTCTGGAGATCATCTAGTCCGACCCCCCTGCCCAAGCAGGTTCACCTAAGGCAGGTTAGACAGGAATGCATCCAGCTTTTGAAAGTCTCCAAAATTCATCACAGATAACCCAAAGCAGATTTTAAAATCATTGGTGCCTTCTCAAGCCAACATGTCCCTCAAGGAGCAGATGCAGCCTTCGGCATGAGATGCAAAGCTGAAATTTCAAGGGCTGAGGGATGTTGCACACCCCAGGTCCCCTTTTTCCCCAGCCTAAATTGTTGCTGCACCCCTAGGAGCTGCATTTCATGCAGAAGTTTGTCCCTCCTTGGTGCTCACTCTGTCCTGCTCAGAACATAACGTTCCCATCATGCTCGATTTTATCTTTTTTTTTGGTAACTTATCCCTCCTTGCTGCTCACTCTCTCTGTCCTGCTCAGAACATAACGTTCCCATCATGCTCGATTTTATCTTTTTTTTTGGTAACTTATTTACCAGGTCAAAAATTTTAGTGGAGAAAAATAAAGCCAATAAAATCACTGGGCTTCCACAAAGGCTGATTGCTTTCTGATTTTGTGTCCCACGATGAGTTTCACCCTGTGCATCCTTTAAATTCTTATGCAAATATCCTTTCTCCACTGAAACATATGCTCCAGATGTTGCATATTACACGCAGCAATGAGTCCACTTCCTTTTCCAAAAATTAGGATTTAACCCTCTCCCCTCCGTGCAGCACTTTAGAGGTTGAAATGGGTGTTTTAAATCCCACCCAGCTACTGGGGGGAGAAAGGCTGGATGCATTTCTTGCATTCGGCTGCCTGAAGTGACTGATGGGAAGCTGCTGGCTCCTGCTAGGAAGGGGATTATTCATCAGATTTTTGTCCTGGAGCCAACCTGGAGAGTGGGGAAGGAGGTGGAGGAGGGAGGGGTGTCTGTTGGGACCGAGCACCACCTCGTGGAGGCTTCACCATGGGCTGTACATTGGACAGTACACGCTGCTGAGCAAACAAGCATGCAACCACATGGTAGAACATCTTCTCCATGACCTGAGGAGGTTAATGAGTATCAAAGCTTGACGGGTTATCAATGAATCATCACCATGGAGGCTGGAAAAACAGCCCAGGTCTGATCCTAAGGCAACAGGGTTGTTTCTCTTTCAGTATTCATCGCTGAGCCCCGTGCACAGCACAGACATTGCTATGAAGAAGGTTGCAACCATCCACGATGTGTGTGAGTCCATGAAACAGCAGCTGCTGGTGCTGGTGGAGTGGGCAAAATACATCCCGGCGTTCTGCGAGCTCCCGCTTGACGACCAGGTAAAAGGCACAGGACTCTTCCCAGCAAACCCAGTGCCTTCAGGAGGGATTCCCAGTCATACCTTTCAGCAAGAGAATCTGGCTTTAACATGTAGATCACAGGGCAATAAACTAGCAAGAAAGAGTCATAAAGGAATCAATTAAAAGCAAGTCGAGTAGCCAAAGTCTCCTAGGATCTAACAGAATTGGTCCCTCCAGTCCAGAGTGAAAAAAGACTGATTTTCCCATTTTTAGTCCCTGATATTTGAACATAAAAGCCATTTCTTTCCTCAAAACTCAAATTACTCAAGCCCCTCTTTGCTTTTTCATTTGGAAACAACTTTTCATCTGGTTTGCCACGACTGTAGTATATGAAGATGTACTAATAATTTCTAGCTCTTATTAGTACTTTATCCATAGATCTGACATATATAAGCAAACACCAAATTTGGCTTAATCTCAGCAGCAACAGCTCACTGCTCTGTTCTTTGCTTTTCCAACATAATGTTCTTTCTTTCCTCCCTGCCATCTCCAGGTTGCCTTGCTCAGAGCCCATGCAGGGGAACATTTGCTCCTGGGGGTAGCCAAGAGGTCCATACCATACACCGATTTTCTGCTGTTAGGTAAAGTAGTGAAACACACTCCTGCCTTTATATTTTGCACCCCCAAGTCATTGCCAAGTGACTGAAATCCTCTCTGTGCTCCAGGGTATGGTCTGGCTGGAGACAAAGTGCTTGAGAAGGTCTCTGGAGAAGGGTAAAAGGGAGCAAGCAAATTCACCAGGACTTTTACAGCTGTTTCCTTACTGCTTTGAAATTGTGGATGAGAAACCCCTCTCCCCCCAATATTTAAATAACATCTCAAACTGCATTGCCTTGGTTTTGTAACTGAAATGGCCAGGACACAGCAAGCCAGTGGTGGGGTGTCAGTGCTTTAAATACTCAGCAGAAAGGTCTATTAAAAATTATCATGCAAACAGGGATTTCCTTTTCATGTAGCTCTCTGCTACCAAAATCAAAGTGGGGCTCTGAGCAACCTGCTCTAGTTGGGGATGTCCCTGCTCTCTGCAGGGGGTTGGACTACATGACCTTTAAAGGCCCTTCCCAGCCCAAACCAGTCTATAATTCTATAATTCTTGGAAAAATCAGGATACCGAACTGGAAAGCTACACAGTACATAAAAGAGGGAGGGAGAACTTTGTTTAAAAACCCCCCCACACCAAAAATAAAGATGCCACACCACTTGCAAACAGATGCCAGGTGTCACAGAGGGCAAACCAGAGCAGAACGTGGAGCAGCTTTGTGTACAGTGTGGGTACACTGAGGTGCAAATGAGATAATTAAGGACCAAAGAATGAGATCCAAGGTTTGCTTCTTGATTATGGATCTGAGTATGAACCTACACACTGAGAATCTGCTGCACACAGGCTCTAGGACTATCTGGCAACGTGCTTTGGGCTAACTTCTGGATGAGACCATGTCTGCAGAGCTAGAGTGAAAATCTGACTGAATTTCTCATCTCCCCAGGGAATGACTTCATCATCCCAATGCACTGCCCTGAGCTGGAAATCGCTCGTGTGGCCACCAGGATCTTGGATGAGCTGGTGAAACCCTTGAGGGACATCCAGATAGATGACAATGAGTACGCTTGCCTTAAAGCCATCATCTTCTTTGATCCAGGTAAGCTTCCTTCCTCATGGCCAAGCATGGGGCTTGAGAAGGAGTCGAGGGCTCTCCAATAACCAGGAAACCCCCTTGGGAGCAGTTCTTCCTTCCACCCTGCCCCTGCTGTAAGAAGAGTGCAGCAAGGACATGTTCAAGCGACCTATTCCTGACCACTTCACTCTTTAGCAAGTATTAAATCCAGCCAGACTGATGTGCCAGACTCTGCAGACCCTGGAGGAGTTTTGCTGCTTCGGTAGCTCGGCTTCAGGGAAGCCCATCAGCCTGAAATGAAGGAGATGACTATTAAGGACATATATGCCTATATTGAATTATGCATCAGTGAAGTGAGTCAACCGAGCAGCAGTGCAGAACATCCATCAGAGCTCAGAAAGCAGCATTAAAAACCACAGAGGGCTGGACTGTTATAGAGTGCCCAGAAACATCACGGGTGCCTGTTAATGGGTCTTGCTGGCAGCCGGTACTGACCCAGGTCAAGGCTGTTCTGCACAGGATGGAGACCAGGGAAACACTGGAGGCAAACAAAAGCTGGTTTGGAACCTTTGTTCTGTTCTCATTCCATAAACACAGGAGTTTCTGTCCCAGCCCAGGCTCCCCCTGAACACTCCTGTTTCTACATGCCTGCTGCACACACACCACCTCCTATTCAAAGTGTCTTTAGTGCGTCTTGCCCTGTAGCTTGGAGAAGAGATGGGACAGCAATCCTGGGTTCAGAAGAACACCCTTTTGTCTTTGTCATCTATTAGCATGGAGAAATTAGAGTATCTTCCACTAGTTCTTTGCTGTATTCATCGATTTGAAATGGGGATGGAGGAGCTTGACAAACAGCATGAACTTTGGCTCACCAGAGAGCCTGCTGTAAACCTGAGCAGGGGTGGTATTATCAAACTGAGCTTGACAAAGGACCTTCCCTGCTGCTCGGTACCTTCAGTGAACCTTCACATCATTGTGACAGCCAGGTGCTGTGGTTTCAGCTAAAAGGAGAAAGTGTGAAGCTCTACAGAAGTGAACTTGTAACTCAGTGTCTGTAGAGTTACAATAACACATGTCAAAGGAGAGGAAAGCAAGACAACGACCTGATGCTGCAGTGGGTGTAATGACAACATACAGGCACTAAAACCACTTGGATTTAGTGGCAGCAGTTGGGACTTACAAATTTTCAGGGGAAAACTCCAGGACATTTCATTGGAAGGACAAATCTAGTTCAACTGTTAAATCCTTTCACTAGTGGTAGTGCCCAGACATATCCACCTGAAGCAAGCTCTTGTTTTCTTACTGTTTCCCCTCATATTGCCAATTCCTCCCAAATTCCCATGACTGTTTCCCTATTCCATGTGAGATACAAAATAGTGGCAGCCCAATGCTACTCAGTCAGATAAACCTGGAGACTCTGAGAGATGGATTCCTGACATCCCATCCACTTCCCTCTACAGGGCCTGACTGACAAGATAACACTTTTTGGCTACACAGGCCAGCAGTTAACTTCATTTTTTTCCCCCCTCCCAGACTGCAAAGGCCTGAGTGAGCCCGGGAAGGTGAAGAACATGCGCTTCCAGGTCCAAGTCAACCTAGAAGACTACATCAACGACCGCCAGTACGACTCCCGAGGCCGCTTCAGCGACATCCTCCTCCTGCTGCCCCCCCTGCAGAGCATCACCTGGCAGATGATAGAGCAAGTCCAGTTTGTGAAGCTCTTTGGGGTGGCCAGGATCGACAGCTTGCTGCAGGAGATGCTGCTGGGAGGTACGGACCCTGCTGAGAAAGGACAGCAAAGATGTTTTATTTCAAAGGCGTTCCAGGGCTTCATGTCTGGGTTTGTGTCCTTCTACGGAGGATGTAGGGTAGACAGAACTTGGGCTTGGGAGGAGGAAAGTGAAGGCTCAGGTTGAATTGTAGCTTGAACATGGGGTCTTCTCACTCCAATCCAACCCCCAAGCCACTTCTTTCCAGCTCACCTCTGAAAATCAGTTTTATAGAAATGGTTACACCTAGTGCTGCTTCACACGCTTGACTTCTGGGCAACCTATCCAACTGATGCACTTTGCAAGAAGACAACACAGGTTTTGTTAGCAGTACATAAAAGTTATAACTAGAGGGGAAATAAGAGGAGAAACTGGGAAACACAGAGGGCCAGGTGAGCAGAGCAGTTGGGTATCAGCTGAAACCCCAGCCATCCCAGGGGCTGTCCCTAGACAGTGAGAAGACTCCTCACCACACCCACACCCACAGAGGTCTCCCATATGCTCTGAAAAAAAGATATAAAGAGATTTGGCACCGAGCATCATGGGCCTTCTAGAGGTAACTAAGCAAAGAATGATGTCTTCTCCCATTTCCACTGCAGGAACCACCATTGATGTCCAGTATCAGTCAGCACCTCCCAACCTCAGCCTGGAGCCGCTGCCAGGACACGTCCTCCCAGGCACCATGAGCTCTGTGATTCATGCCCCTCCTGACCGTACGTGCCCATTTTGATGCTGTTGGTGTCAGTGTGATGGAGGGACTGGAGAGGAGAAGCTGTTCAGAAAGAGACCTTTAAATTCCTTTATGTGTTTAAGCATCACACTGGAATCAGAGTTCACAGCCCCACCCCCCCTGCTTGCAGACTCCCTTTATTTTGCAATCCAGAAACGTCCTTCCAAAGAGAAGCTGAGATTTTTTTGTGGAACAGCATGATCCAGAGGGAATTTTGAGATGCTTCTAAACATCACAAGATTTAAAAAGAGGGAGATCAAGATTGGTGACAATATGTTCCTACGAACATAAGCAGTGCTGGGGAATACCACAAAGCAGCACACAGTTATTAGTGGCAAGAGTTTCCCGACGTAAAGTGTCTTGGTTGAGTCAACCAGAACACAATATGACCTAAATAGAAGAGTGTCTTCAACCACTCTGGACACTGCTACCAGGCAATGGCTACTTGTTAAAGCATTTATCTGCTGTAGTAGCAACTGGACCATGCTATTGAAACACAAAGTAGAACATGAGTGGCAATTCTGCTGCCGTGTTACCACATGATGTCTTTCAAACGTTCTTCTGCTAGTTATGATCCCTCTTGTGGCATATTTTGCTGTTCCTCAGCCACATCAGTGCTGGCATCATGTATTTTAGCTTGTTTTGGTTGGTTGGGTTTATTTTTTAAGCCGCCTTACAGCGAGGGAGGTTAGAGGGATGCTGCTTTCTGTAAATGAAGTACAGCAGGCAGCAGGCTGAGCGCTCCCCTGACGAGGAGAGAAAGGGTTGAAAAGCACTCGGGGGCATTTCCCAAGTGCAAAACACTGAGAAGAGCTGGTCCATGCCTATCACCCATCCTGTGCCTCATCACACACAGGAAGGAATATGCCAGAACAAGCCTATATTTGGGATGGATCCTCCTGCCCTATCCCCCAAGCTCTCACTCCTTGGTTCGTAGGATGGTTTGCTGATTTTATTCGGGCACTGCTCCATTGAACAGTGTCCATTTTAATTCTGTTTCTCTTCTCTCCCACAGCATCTCCTGAAACATCCCTTCCATCTCCTTCTACAAGCACAGGCAGTGAAGACTATAAACTAGGCTCTAGTGCAGGACCCAACGCTGTAGCACAGCTCTTGCCTCAGACAGTGATACCCAAGCAGGAGATTCTATAGGGCGAGGTGGAAGGAGATCCTGGGAGCAATGTGAAAACCATGGTGAAAGTGAAACGGGCCCTTTCTTTTTGCAGAGGCAAAGCACAGCACCCCCCTGCCAGCAGCTGGACCCACTGGTCACACTCTTCCCCAGCCCTGAGTCGAGCACCAGGTACCAGCCTGCAACAGGAACCTCTCTGCGGGTCTTCCCACCACCTCATGTCACACATCATCGGGGACAATGCTCTTTGAAGTAGGACCAGGACTGGAAGCTCTTTGGAGCAGGGCTTCTGATGGAATCTATCACCCAGCTTCGGTGTGATTATGACCCTTCTAAAGCCTTCAGCCACTCTCCTCCTAAACCAAAAGCCTTACACAGCTCCTGGTAATTGTCAATGAGTGCAGCAGGGCTTGAATTGTCAGTGCCAAAGGTCTATTCCCATTAAAAACTTAATTACACTCCCATTTCTCCTGCTGCACGTTCAGCTTCAGGAAGAATATCTTCATAACCCTTAGCAGACCAACACTTTCTTCTTTCACATAGACCAGTTAACACCTAATGCTGGTCAGTCATTGTTTGTGACCAGGAATACCAACTTTTGGTCGTTTCCTGCAATTTCCAGTAATTTTATAGTCCAGTTATGAGTCGTTTGCTGCACCCTCTGCTTCGTGTGCAGCTCTGAGACAGCAGCAAGGATCTCTGCATCAGGCCGTGGCTGCTGGGTCTGCTAAAACCCACAACTGGCAGGAAGCTCGTTGACTTCAAACCCACTGCTTTGGACCTTCTGCAAACTTTTGCTGCAAAGGTATTTGTAAGAAGCAACAGACTTAACAAAAACTCCCCCGGACCCTTTTCCCAGTACCCAGATATGATTTTGCTGTAGTTTTATGTAGCTTTAACATCTGCAACCTAAACTTCAAAGCTCTAAATTAGCCAGAAAAAGAAGTCAGGTCTCCTGTGAGCCATTTATTATTAAAAATGCTTGTATTTAAAACATAAGGTGCTTCTGCACTTAAAGTTTAATCAGCAGGTTACCAACTATTAACCACGTTACAACCATTTAAAATGATCCCACTAGCTGCCTACACAACCTCCAGTGTTCCTAAAGCCCTGTCATTGTGCTTAGCTGGATTAATTGGACTTTGATTAAAAATGTTTGTATTTAAAGCATAAGGTGCTTCTGCACTTAATATAAAGTTTAATCAGCAGGTGACCAACTATTAACCACGTTACAACCATTTAAAATGATCCCACTAGCTGCCTACACAACCTCCAGTGTTCCTAAAGCCCTGTCATTGTGCTTAGCTGGATTAATTGGACTTTGAAGAGTTCTAGACTTCTGCAAAACTTGTGGTCCTCTCTACAAAAGTCCAACGGTCTCCATCAGACAGCTCTGGAGGGGTTATGGGTGTCTGTACTGACCAGCAGGACAGCACAGAGGATTGCACAAAGCCCTCGGCCCACGTGCAGCCCCGTTCATGGTAACAATGAGATGAAGGTGCCCAGCTACAGCTTGGTGAAGCTGCTTTCACCAACAGTGGTGAAGCACTTGGAGAGCCTCAGGTGGAGGAGGCTGCAGAAATGCAATCTAATGGAAGGAGAGAGGAGCTGGGAAGAGCATCTGGACCTTCACACCAAAAGGCGGTTTGTATTTCATGCTCTCAGGGGATACTCCAGAGCTGCTATTCTGCAGCACAAGAGAAAGCTGAAGACCGTTGAAGACTGGGTTGAATTTCACCTAGGATCACAATGTTTTATTTTTCTACTGTCTAGGATGAATTTGATCTGACATTCTATGCTGATAGCTTTGATTTGGAACAGCTATATCTAGAAACCAGGCTCCACTGCAAGCATCCCTGCTGCCCGACAGAGGCAACTGTACTTTGCTAACATTGCTTCCAGTTCCTCCACCACGTAGACTACATGACTTTTCTAAAAATTAAATGTACATTTACAGTCATTAATGGTAAGAAAATAAATCTGGCAGGGAAATAAATTCCATATTCTCATATTTCATACGGACAGTTTGCCTTTTTTTCTTTAATTCAAAGCCAATGTTTCAAGTTTCTCCACTGATTTCTCCTATGTCAACTGGAGATTTTGGGGAATTTTCACCTTAGGGATTTATTTTTTGTAAAAAAAAGGATCACCTATGGCTGCAAAGCCCAGCTTTCACTTGAGAGTGATGTAATTAATCTGAGCTATTATCTGATAGAAGGAAATAAAGTTGTTCAGGAATAAGTAGATATCAGCCTCAGCCCCCAGTGTGAACCAGGGGAAGGGTCACAGTAACAATAACTCAGTTTTACAAGGGGACTGTAGCAATAGTTTTATAGCAAAAATCTTTGTGGCTTCCCAGTATCAAACCTCACTCTAAAGGAAACCAATATTCTTATGCAAACACACCTTGAAAGTGACTGGTTTGATTTCTGCTTTATTGGAATCATGATTTTGTTAACGAGATATTCAAAGCCCTCCTTTAAAATTATTTCCATTGTCTGGCAAGATGTCAGAACAACAGGAATCCTGCATCTCAGGGAATAAAGTCTTACCTATTTCTCTGGAAGTTATCAATTTCTTTGCCAATTGGAACATTTGGCTTTATTAACGTTGGGTCCAAGCCTTATTTTAATTTTATCCTGCACTACAGTGTCAACAGAGATAGCAGAAATAGTACCATCATCAATCAAGAAGCCTGGATACACATTCAGCCAAGGAATAACACTTAAAAAAATATACAGACCTGTAATGTTGGCACAGGGCAGACAGAGAGAAGCTCATAAATGAATCCTTGCTTGTCACTGTTGCTGTCTAAGACTTCAGAAAGGATTCAGGAAACAACCTGAATGAAGATTAGAAATTAAACAAGAAAATAAAAGGGAGATCAACCAGCAGGACCCACCTGCAGAGAGGTTCAGTTCCACTGGGAGAGCAAACAAGCTCTTCCCTAAACCAGATGTAAACACAGCATAGCCTAACTCTTGTGCCATACAAATATCAAATCATTAACCTGCTGAAAAATGTAAGAAGCAGTGGCACAGTTAGGATTCTTGCCAAGGGGAAACAAACTGCTTGCAGCCTCTCCTTCCTTCACCACCCTTGTAAACCTTGTTTCCTTCTTACTCTCAGTGGGTCAGTTCTGTCGACAACCACCTCAGCTGCTGCTTTCCAGTGTAACTGTCTGTTCTCCCTGAAGCTACAGAACTAGTGGCAAAAGTCAACAAACCAGGGAGCTCAAACCTGTATTTTACACAAATACCTTCACAGTGCAAAGCCTGAGATACCCTGAGGGTTTTCAAAGAGGAATATTTACCACATGTTTTCCTGCTTGCCCTATGAGTACCTGCTTGTCTAAGAGAAGGATGCAGGAAAGGAAATCCCCAAGAGCAGCTAAGCACTTGGCATGGCTTAAAACCCTTCACAGGCAGAAGAGTATCTTGAATTTGGAGCAGTGGCATCTGTTACTTGACACACATGAACATACAAATTACAAGGCAAAGGATTAAAGGCCGTTACCCAGAAGTTGTTGTGATCTAAATACACGTGATATGCCCAAAAGGTGCAAAAAATTGACACACAGAGCAGAAGTTAATCAACTAATACTTCAATTCATTACTTTATTTTTTTTTTTACATTAAAAAAATTACAACATAAGGGTTTGAAAAGCCAAGTAAACCTGATTTCACACACGCACACACTTGCTAAGTCACAGGGTTCAACCGCTTGGAGTGATATTTTCTGATTTTCATCAGGATATTTTATTAACCAATATACACATTAAGAGCCTCATGACAAAGCCAGACACTTTTTTTTTTCCCCCCCAATCTTTAAGATGTGCAACTGAACACGCAAAGATTCTTGTAGAACTTCCAACTTTCCCTCAGGTTACAGGAGATGTAGTTTTGTTCATCTGACCATGATTTCCTTGGATGTGTCCACCCAGCAGTTCTCCAGCATCACACGCCATCCCCCAAAGCAAAGTGAACTTGTTAACACAGGATTGCACAGTTTGGTTTGCAGGGCCACAGATAATAAAGGGATCCCTTCAGAATCTCACCCACCCAGTGGTATAAAACCTAATGGAGGTGGAATCGTGATGCCACAAGCAGTTACAAAGAAATGGAGAAGCAGGCCACTGAAAAATAAAGTCTAGCTCCTGTAGTATGTAAACTTTATAATGCAAGATTCCTCAGCACGTTGAACTGCTTGAGGTGGGACAGATCATCAGTGCCACTGGCAAAGCATAAGCAAGAACAGGACAATTTTAAGGCAAGTCCCCAAAACAGGGAGCTATTTACTTTCTAGGCACGGTTTCAAGCTGTGTATCAAGGCTCCTGCTTTATCATTTATATTGTCATTAGTTTATAGAACAGATTAACAGTAATACAAAAAAATAGTCTAAATGTAAATTTTCAAGAGTCCACTTTCAGCTGAATTTCATTACTTGCAGATTTAGAAACATTCCTTAGCACTACTGTTGTTTGTCAGGCCCACATAAAGCAGTTCTAGATCTATATTGCTTTCATTTCTTGAAAGTAGTTTTGGTTGGAAAACTGTTAAACTAAAAATAATCCCTTCTATTACAGATCTTTCTATATTTAAACTGTTGGACTTGAGAAAGAAGCAACTTCCCTCATTCCTCTGATGTCTTTGTTGCATGGACCATTAACAACCTTCCTCCTGTGAAAACCCTGTACAACAACAAAAAAAAAAGGGGGAAAAGCAAGACCTTACAAAGACAATGGTTTTCCTTAATTAACTCCAATCTGCAGTACATTCATTTGAATCTCTCACAGGAGGATACAGTCACTGGTCCCACTCACCCCTGCACAGAGGAATCCTCAAACACCTACACTTCAGTTCCTCTAGAATCAATGCATTGTCAGCAATCTGTACCTGATTTTGGCCCACAGCCTCGAGTTAGAAGTGCTGTTCACTGAAGATTTAGAACTCACTTAAATGCCACGTTGAGATTCATACTGCCAAAAGACAAGACGTGCTTTTGTGAGCCTGGGAAGACGTTTGGCAGGGGTGTAACAGTGCCTCTGATGTGTTATGCTGCTGTGTGCACCAGTCCTTTGAGTCACTTGCATATGAGGAACGTGTGCCTGAAGCAGGACACAAGGACAGCTCTGTTTGTTAGGACAAGCTGAAATATAAATGACAACTGAACACACCACTATTCCCTGAAAACTGGATTTAGAAGGCTAGGTCTCATGGGAGATCTTTGAACTTTCACCATAATGCTCCTCCTTATGATTGACAACTGCACCTAAGTATATATATACTTTTTATAAAAACACACCGGTAATTCCCCAAACATTTATCAAATAAAAAGGGTTTAACAAAAAAATGGATAATCTCAGAAAATAAATTACAGTAGCATGACAACTTTTGGCTTCTTTAGTGTGACCACGTGCTTTTCCATTGTTCTCTTGCTGTTTAAGACCACGACAGATCCAGTTCATGTCTCTGAAAGTTAATGAGATGTCTGTGACGATAAACGTATAAAACTCTGCTTGCTACAAGCAAATGTCTGGTATCGGCTTCACCTGGTCACAGATTATATGCAGACAGCCTCCTCTGGCCCCAAATAAATAGTATAGAGTATCCTTGCAAGTCCCAGAATCATTAGACTCAAACAGAAAACTCAGGTCCCCCTTTCTTTGTTCTCAGGAGGAGGCGCCTGATGCGAAACCCCGCGAAAGGATTGATCCAGAGGAGGGAGGGCTGGCCCCCAAACACGGACTTCATCCCCTCCCAGCGCAGCCGCCGCTCCCACGTGGGCTTCTCACTCTTCAGTCTTTCAATCTCCTGTACAGAAACAGACAGTGAAGCCCCAAGTTTCAGCAGGTCCCACAGCAGGCAGCAAAACTGACCACTGGTTTGCGTTCTTTCAGCCTATTGTTTTGTGTTTTCTTTTAATCAGCCAGCTGATTAGTTTCTTACTGGTTTTTATTCAGTAAGGAAGAAATAAGAATGGCTGATTTAGCCTTGTGGGCACAGGACAGAAGACTCAGAACACAACACGTGGTCCCAATCTCCCTCTCCCCTCCTCAAAATAAAAGACACAATGACCAGACAAGCTGATGGACCAGGAGAGGACCTACAGGTGCTATATCCACACTGGAAGTTGTTTACTCAGTTAAGGAAAGCAGACAACAAGGCTTCCAAGAAGGTTCTTGTGCTGCAATTAGTCTCTAAGCCAGCCTTACTCTCCCAAATGCATTATTCTGATGATTTGGGTTTTATATTTCCTGCTAATGAAGGCTGGGTATTTATCAATTGCTTTTCCACACTTCACTACAGGAGTACCCTTTTAGACAGTCTCACATGAGAAAATTCTGAACAGCCACAAGATTCAAATTTGTTGTTCCCAGTCAATTCTCTACCACAAAACACCCTCTTCAAGGCTTAATGCTGCAGATCTAAGAGCAAAGGAGCCCAAAGGTCCAAATTCTGGTTATACTCTAATTAAGTGTATCAAAGGAGAGGGTAGTGCCAAGGGTTGACAGAAGGCGCCCAGTTTAAGTGGAAACCTGAGAAAAGCAGACATTTCTCACGACACACAGCAGCAGTTTGTTGATAGCTGAGAAGTGAGAGTCCAAACCAGAAGACAGAAGCTGTGCAATCTTTGCAGCTGAAACCCTAACTATAAAATTTATGTCAGAAAAAAAAATAATGCAAGAACTTCTGTTAGAAAGCAAACCTCAAGTATTTCAAGCCTTAAAACCATAGAAAGTAAAAACGATGAGCTCTCAGATCTGGGGTTTTCTCCAAAATGAAAGAATCATGCAGATAAAGCATCATCTAATCACACCCTCCCATGATAACTGTTAGAGCACAGAAAAGAAACCAAGGTCTTTACCGTCTCATCGTTGCATATTGAGTGGATTTGGGTGCCAAACATGACTGCAGTGAAAGTGAGAAACAGAAAACCCTCAAGGCACAAGAAGATCATCAGGATCACAGTTACAGGTGGGGAGAAGTCACTGCATTCTGTGAAAATGATACAGGGAGTTATAAATTAAAAAAAAAAAAATCTATAGAGCATGTTCACACTAAGACATCCCCTCTTCAACAAATAGGAAGATAAATATCTGGCACTCGAGCCAATATTTCACAATTAAAACAAAGTTCTAATTTCTAGCACTGCAGCAGCTTTATTTGCTGCCCAAGGAAATAAAGAATTTAAAGGAAGTCATAGTAACACTTTTGGCTTCCTATAAAGCACATTGTACTGCACGGTCCTGCCTCAATATTTCAAGTGTCTCAAAAAACAATCAGGTTACAGTCACGTCTCTGGAAATCCTCTGATCAGCTGATTAACTCAAAGTTAAAGAAGGAATGGGATCGTCTAGAGGAAGCAGAATGTTTAAGGATTAATATTCCATCCATTTAAGGAATACACAGATTCCCCTTTTCCTTCAGGTACAAGGAAGAACATGATCAACCATATTCTGTCATGAGGACAAGATCAGAATGAGCTCTGGCCTACTGGGACATTAAGAAACACAAGCCAAGGCTTAAACAAAAAAAAATGGACATTTCTTTTTCTACAGGAGCCACACTTGACTCCATGAACAGAATGAGGGAGAAATTGGGTTAAGTTTTAGAGAGATGGGTAAACAGGTAAGAAATGTTTAAATATTTTCAGGCCCCCACTTTAAGAAGACTGAAGTCCTGTCATATTCCATACACAGGACTGAAATGGGGTGGCATGCCACAACTCACCCCTTAATATCTGAGAGACTGTGACAGTTAAAGTTAATTATTTGCTTACCAGTCCACTGCCCTCGGACACAGGAGAAAAACTGAAACCCACACAGGATGAGTGCATGAGCTGAAATTAGGGCTATATACATCTGGAAATGAGAGAGAGTGCTTACTTTTGACTGCTGCTAGGTATTAAATCAGACATTCCTTTCAGCCAGCCTTCACCACGGCACAGCAAACACTTCCTATCTCCATTTTTAATCCAATACAACCATGTAAAAAACTCTGATTAAGCTTTTATCTAAAAACCTGGGCAACGAGGAAAGTTTCAGATTAGCTCTCTAAATCACAGCACCATTCCACTAATTGTTACTATATAAAAGAAAGCAAAATGAAGACAGTTTGAAATAACAGTGCTTTGCAAGATTACAATGAGTATGACTAGAAATATCTTCCTGCTCGGAGGACATCTTGCATAGAAGGAAAATAAAACCCAAACAACACAAAGCAATTACACCCTTAAGCCATTACTCAGTGCTCAGCACAACCAAAATTTTTATGATCAAGGTGGATTCATACTGAGAGAGAGCTGCTGTTGATTTTCACTCACCGTAAACAGAACAAAAAATCTCTGGTTTTTCTCCCCCACACAATTATTCACCCAGGGGCAGTGGTGATCCATCTTTCGAATACATCGTTTGCAAATACTGAAGGAAAGGGGAAAAAAACAAAAGACTTCTGTTGGCAAACACGATTTTGCATTGTCATGCAGAAACAAGGGCATCCAGTGGTCACAAAAGGATGGGCTGAAATCTTTCCTGACAAACTAAACAGGGATGATTTTATTTGCATTTCTTTAAAGAAACTATTTGCTTCACGACTCTGCTTCTGGTTGTTACAAAAGTGATGGTGTAGGTAAAATATTCTTTACAGAAGAAAAACAGCATTCATGGGAGAATTGTTGCATATCCAAACAGTGTCCAGCAAATCCAGTAAACTTGTTTTGGGATGCTTGTGGCAGTGTATGAGCAAAGCTTCTACTCTTTACCCTCTTGCTAATGGATATTTAAACTCTACTGTTCTTCACTACTTCAGCAACTAATTGCTTAGTCTCTGCCCAGTTTTGAGGCAAGGTGATTTCCAGAAAAGTCAAATATTTCAATAACTCCCCTTCACATCTGCTAGGTCATACAAAGGGCTCATTTCTCTAATAGTCAGGTCCAGCCACAGCCAAACACGAGTAGTTATAGAAGAGAAACAACAACAGTTGCAACATGTGTTGAAGTTCTTCCATAAATCAATAACTTAAGTAATGCTGGTGATTAATTTTCCGTGCTTTGTACTTCAGACAGCCACACACTCAAAGCATTCCAGATTTTCCTGCAGAACATCCAAAATACTAAGCATTTGCATTTAGGCAGCCACAAAGCCAAATAAGCCTTAAAAAAAAATGGAGGTATTATTATTCCAAATCCTCTAGTGCATTCTTATTTACCTGTGGTAGCAACAAATGCTGCAGAGACAAGCCACAAAGCAAAGCTAGGTGACTGTCACTAGAATGAAGAAAGAGATGGGGGGGAATCAACTCTCCAGGGCATAAAATAAGTTAAGTCTTCACACAGGCATGATTATAAAGTAACTCACTAAGAGGCAGAGCACAATCCTGCTACAGGAATGAATCCCAAATCTCTCACTGCTCCTCTGAAGCTCCCTTTGCCCTGAGTTATCATAGCCCAGCCCCTACATTCCCACTGCCTTGTTTTATTAATGATTCATCCTCTCATGCAAATTATTTTTCAATAGTGCCAGTTACACATGAAAATCCTGATGCCATAACTGAACACCACAACCCTTCTCTAGTGCAAATAAGGAGGAATCACTCAAGGGAAGGCATTCAGAAAGCTCTCCAAGAGACTTTCATTTTCTTTCAAAGACTTTCAAGGACCTGTTGCCTTTAAGTTCAGCCTCTCCTGAATTTTCTAAGCTCTGTGGGGAGGTGAGCTAACTCCAGTCACCACACCATGAAAGCCTCCTGAAGGAACACAGAATATACACTGTCACTCTAAAAAGAATATTAATGGGAAGCACTGAATAAAATCACATCTAGCCTCAATCAATCTAAACACTGGAGGGTGTGAGGTGGGCAGGACTCACTGTTGTTCATTCAGCATTTCTCACAAGCCCATGCAGAGCTTAAGCTAAGCTAAGACACAGCTAAAGGCATAAGAGGAATCAGCCTGGGTTACAGAAATTTACAAACATCTCAGTGAGCTCATTCTGAAGAGCAGTTCCCCTCCCCTTCCCTCCCCAGGCACTCCAAAGAGGCAAGAAATTATGAGAGCTGTGCTCCTTCAGTGACCAAAAAGCATTCACTCAAGACAGGCCTCCTCCTTATGCTGAAAATATTAACAGCTTAGTAAAATCTCAGTTTAATGTATTGCTCTGAGGCTAGATATTTAGCTGTAACTAAGTTTCTTGTCCTTCTTCCCATTGCTAATGTGCATTATGAAACTATTTTTCTTCCTTTAAAGAACTTCTGCTGCAGTGTTGCACAACAATTTTCATAACTACATCATAAGAGTCTCTTCTGTTAATAATTTACTACTCCAAACACAGGCTGTGGCTTTGAGGGTAAGTATTTCCCAACAGGAACCAACTTCAATTTCCATTTTCAAGTCTCTTCTATCAGCAAATTGCCACTTTGACTGCTTGGGACTAGACCATCCTTTTAATGTCCTTGGAATGGGTTTGTAAAGCCAATAAAAAGTCAGCAGTACAATCAAACAAATCTTTTTTTTTCTATTCAGTGGACTTCTGCAGTGCTATGGTAAAGAATCAGACTCTGGTAGCTGGTTTCCAGCCCATTTACCTGTCTATGAAGTATGTATTCAACAAAGAAATTGCATTCAAGAAGCTAGAATAAAAATTCATTGTTTTATTTAAGAAAAGTAAACAGCATTTACTAGTGAAATGAGTAACAGAAACAAAGACATGAGAAGAACATGACAGCTGGCTTACAAAAGGCTGGCACAAGCACTTTGAGGCTCCAGCTTTCTCTTTCAGATGCACTGTGCAAGCCCCAAAATGCATCCTTTGCCCTTCTGTGAACATCTCAGAGTATTTTACCAAAGTATAAAAAGTCAAATGATTCACAAGACAGGCAAAGTAAAAAAAAAAAAAAAAAAAGTGGAAAGTAGAAAACAAATCCTTTGACAGCATCACAAATATCCATCACTACAGACACTACCCATTCTTCCTCTGCTTTTACAATAAATGTGGCTCTAATTTCTGCTATAAGAAATGTACTTTATGTCCCTACTTAGTTTATTTTTATTTTTCTTCCATGAAAAAAGTGATTTATCAAACAACATAACCTTAACATCATATGCAGAGTTCAACATCAGATGCCTTCATTTAGGGTTACTTCCAAATTAGTAAATCCCATCAGGACTGAAGAAGTGGGCAACACTTCAAAGATACCTGCAAAGTCTCTTGGAGGGACCAGCCTAAATCTGAGCTGAGAAGAGTGGCAAGGCCCAAATTATGCTCAGCAGAGGCTCTTGGGTGTCCCTGTACTGCATCCCAGGAGCCCAATGCCAGAACTGAACCGAGGGCACAAGGCTGGTTTGGACCTCCAGAAGTGCTATAAGTATGAGTATGGCTCATACTCTGCCCCAGGAAACCAGCTTTGCTTCCAGCCCCAGGCCCACCAAGCAACTGGGACAGCTGCCTTCACAGAGCACTCAACCAGAGCTAATAAAGCCAGCCAGAACCAAACTGGCTGCACCAGAGGGCAGGCCTGGTATCTGTACCCAAGCAAAAGCCACCCCACCACACAGAAACACAGTGAAGACAATTCTATACTTGGCTATTTATACATGAAACTTCTCCCTTCACACTCCAGACAGAAAAACCCACTCACATCTGAGAGAAGAGTAAGATTTCAGTGCCAAGGCTGAGTATTTGTAATGGGAACAGCTCCTCAGCCCTAACGTTCACACACAGCCAGACATTTAATTTAGAAACCACCAATTTACAGAATAATTTGGGAGTCCTGACAAGACTTCACTCTGTTCTTTTGAAGGGCACTAGTTCAGAGACCTAAAATTTAATATGCCACACATCACTCCTCACACCTAGAGAGAGCCACCAGAAACATTTACATATTTATGTAAGTCTTAATTATGCAGGCAGATCTATTTTCAACCCCCACACAATAAACACTACAAATGTCTTAAATCAGAAGTTATTTCTTCTGTCAGAAATTTCCTTGGGATTCCTCCCTTTGCCTTGGATTATCAACAGTATGGTACAATAATCAGAATGGCACACAGGAAAAAATATTCCCAGATCAAAAGGTATTTAAGACACCATAGTATGATTATTTTTAAAAACTCTTCAGTCTCTTGTTTCTTTCCCCTCACCCACATTCATTTTTGGCCACAGCATATGGCCAAATGTATTATATTGATAAAATATTATAAAATACTCTGCAATGTACAAGGTTGAAGATTTACTGGATACCAAAATTTGTAGGGGAAAAAAACCCCAACATATAAGTATCCAGAATGTTATTCCAAGGCTTTATATTTGTTAGTGCTCTGAAGAGAGCTACAGCCTACCTGCAATGGTGTGCACGTTCAGGTTTGATACTACAGCACTTGGGACATTTGTAGATCACTTCTCCTGGTTTCAGTTGCAAATTATCCATGTATTCTTTAGTGGCATTTCCTTTGGGTACAGCCCCCTGAAATCGTTTCAATTAAAGGAGAGAAAGCTTCTTAAATGGCATGAGAGCATTTAAAAATACATTTTATAGATTTCACAGCAGTGATCTCAGGGTAATGGCTCAAATAAGTTCATTTATTCAATGATTCAATGTAAGTCAGCATCATTCCAATGGAATAAATTACTTCTTCTTGACCTCCAATGCAGTTTCATTACAGCAAGACTCATCTGTGGCCAAGTATTAGCAGCATTCTGATAGAACTTACTGTCACCAGCATATATAAAATGAGGGAAAACACATCTTCACAAGCAGATATGAACACTACAGGTAACAATATTTGCTGAGAAGTCACCCTGAAGAAGCACCACTACAAGAGACCTGATTTCTTATGTGCCATACATTAATTGTGACATCAAGGCATTCAGAAAAGTTAAATTAGCAACAACTACTTGAAAGATGTTATTGAGCTCTCCAAATCCAAGATTTTGCCACCTGCTCCCTATATACAAGTTTCTGAGTAACAATTAATCCTTTTTTTCCTTTATACTTCAGCTTTTAGCTTGGACACTGCCCACATGAATCACCACCAGCTTCTCTACCATTCACTATCCCACATACTTCACACAGGGAGAAGCTTCTCCAGGTCAGCTTAAAACATCTGCAACACCCTATAATTATATTTAAAAAAAAAAAAGCCTACTGGCAACACCACCACTTTACAGACACCTCAAGGAAGTTTTAGGTTAAGAATTAAGAAACCAGCAAGTACTTCAGATTCAATTGCAAAACACATTCTACTTAGGCAGAAAGTTTGTGTTGCCTATGGGCCAGAATAACAACCCTGTCTTTGTACTGCCTGAGACACAGCCCAAATTCTGTCCCTGATGACCTCTCTGGCTAAGCAGTGCTTCCAACTTGAGCCAGCTGGTATGAACTGAGAGTTTCTTAAACACTCATGTTGTATTGCTGAAGTGTTTTTTTGCAAGGTGAATGTTCTCCTTGAAGCGAATACTTTGGGGTAAACACGGTGAATTACGCCAGAGAGAGAGCTCCTAAAGGACAAATTCCTCTTGTTCCACAAATTATGCTTATAAAACACATCTCACATTGTCACCTGTCACTAAGGATGATAGCTTCAGGACATGCTTTTAGCATTTTGCTGATAAAAATATGCCCCATTTCAAAAACATCCTTCATAGTCTCGGATGGTCATCACTTCACTTCAAGGAAAAAATCTATTTTTGTAGTTATAAGAGTAAAGTTAATTCACATGTTTTCAGGCAGTTTATTCCCTTTTTCCTTCAGTCTTAGTGTCTATCACACAGTTGTCTCCCATTCTGAGAGTCAGCAAGAAAGGAGTGGAGGAAAAAAAAAATTAATCTCAATTTCTATCCTGTTTTATCCATAAAAACCAACGTAGGTCTAGAAAGACATGAAATTTTATCAGGACATATTTTTAAGCAATCTGTCCTTAGACCATTGACTTTCTCAGCTGTCACAGTCTGTTGAAATCATAATATTTCATCACTGGGTGTGGGCTCAGAAGTAAATCAAAGACCTAGAAAATCATTAACTACAACATCCTGCTGTTTTGTTGAACACTCCCATAACTTGTGTACACTGTTACTATCACAAAAATCTGGAGAAAAGGGTTTTCTCCTCATCCCCAGATTTGTTCTCTAAAAAGAGTAATAGATTTTCATACAAAATACACAATTTCACCTCTCAAACTCCTAAGAAATGAGTACCTTGAAGACCTCTTACACCTACACTGCTCCAAGGTGGGTTCAGCTTAAATCTCCCTTTCCAATGACTTCAAACACAACAATGGATGAATCACACAGGTCAGCAGTTCTAATTTTATGAATTTTATGCCAATATGTGACTGAGGTTTTTCAACATGTCTATCTCTAGAAGTTCTTTCACGTGCCATAAATGGAAGATAATGTTTCAAATAACACAACAAGATGAAGCTACAACTTATTACAGAGTTCTGAAAACGTATCTGATTGATGAAAAAAGCAAAAATAGAACAGAAAACACTAAAACTTTATTATTTCCTTAAGAACTGGGTTAATATTTTGCTGTAATAAAGTACTGATGAAAAAAGAAAGCAAAAATAGAACAGAAACCACTAAAACTTTATTATTTTCTTAAGAATTGGGTTAATATTTTGCTGTAATAAAGTATATTTCTCATGAGCTTAGTCTTCTGAATTAATTTCATCCTCCCTGCTCGTCAAGCCAAAGATTATTTACAGTTTCCTTAACAGAACAAGAGGAGAAGTACAGATCTCAGCCCTTCACCTCCAGGGGGTGGAACTCAACACTGCTTTTCCTAGCAGAAGATGGGCATCCCTTCTCCAAATGCCTCCACAGACGAGGAGCTACACGAGAGGAGAATCCAAGGCCAAGGAAGGCTTGCATACTTACTGGATCAGTTAGCATAGTTCTCAGGTGCGATGACAAAGCTAGCACTGCCAAGCAGTTAAAGAGAACACCGTTGATCACAGAGTACCAAAAGTCTTTGGAAGGCAGCAACATGACAAAAGTCACTACGAAGTCTGCATAGACAACCAGAAGCCACGTCATTATAGCACAGACCATACCACAGCCATCCCGGATGAACCAAACCCTCTCTGCCATGTCAGCCTCTGAGGAAGAGGAGTCGTAGCTCTCATTTTCAGCAAGGAGTGGGTGGTGCTCAACATCACGGAACCTGTGCCCTGATGACTGCATGGTTTTCTGGCCTGGCCCTGCAGGAAGCAAAGATACTGTTAGTGGGCAGGAGGAAACTGGAAATACAGGTGGCTCTTGTTCAAAAGAGAGGACTGAAGAAGAGTGTGAGGAGTCCTCCCCCTGAGGAGGAAGGTGCAGCAGAGACAACGTGTGATGAACTGACCACAACCCCCACTCCCCATCCCCTTGTGCCACTGGGTGAGAAGGCAGAGAAATTGAGAGACCAGGAAGAAGGGAGGGATTGGGGGGAAAGATTAAAGTGTTTTAAGATTTGTTTTTTGTTTTTTTTTTTTCCTATTATCCTACTCTGATTTGATTGGTAAAAAATTAAACACATTTTCTCCAAGTCAGGACTAGGGGGAATGGGGCAAAGCTGGCAGTGGGCAGATTCAGGCTGGACGTGAGGAAGAAGTTCTTCCCCATGAGAGTGGTGAGACCCTGGAATGGGTTCCCCAGGGAGGTGGTTGAGGCCCCATCCCTGGGGGTCTTTAAGGCCAGGCTGGATGAGGCTCTGGGCAGCCTGATCTAGTGGGAGATGTCCCTGCTCATGGCAGAGGGGTTGGAACTGGGTGATCCTTGTGGTCCCTTCCAACCCTGACAGATTCTGATCTGTTTTAGCAGAGGTCTTTAGAGCCCTAATGGCTCAATGGTTGGACTTGATGATCTTGGAGGTCCCTTCCAACCTAAAGGACTCTATGATTCTAAGTCTGTTTTGCCCATGACAGTAATTGGTGAATGATCTCTCCCTGCCCTTAACTCGACCCATGAGCCTTTCTCTCCCCTGTCCAGCTGAGGAGAGCAGTGATAAAGTGGCTTTGGTGGGCACCTGGTGTCCAGCCAGGGGCAGCTCACCACAATCACACAACTTCAGTGCTTGACAAAGGGATTTTACAATAGTTTCACTTCCATCTTGCTCTGCCTGTAAACCACTCTTCCTCATTTGTTAAAAATGCAACATCTCTCTTTTATCTCAAACTAAAACCGCAAAGTCTTCATTAAATTACAGCTCATGTCTCTCAGAAAACAGCAAGCTATGGCACCAGACTGTTGACTTTTCAGACTGCTGCCACCCAGGGAAAAGCAGAAGTTAAAAATGGAATGGGAATAAAGCTGTCCTAGCACACTGTTCACAACAAAAACCACAGCAACTTAGCAAAGAGCTAAATTCGTTGACAAAAGTGCTATTGTGTTGAAAAAAACCCACAAACCTGTTACAAAGATATATTGGATAACTAAAGAAAACGGTCTCAAATCAGACCCAACTTAAGGGAAACAAATGGTAGTGGTTAAATTACTATGGCAATGGATTCTATGAGTCAGATTCTCACAGAACATATTAATTAATTCAATTTCATGAAAACTCTTTTAGGGCTTTATTGTTGTTCCAACCTGGAACCAAAACAACACTTGAAACCTTAGTAGTTTTCATGAAAACAGAATTACTTTCCAGACATCTCTAACCAGCAAAGATATGGAAGGGCAGAACCCAAGTGCTATCAACAAGCAGGAGACAAATTAAAGCTTAAACATTCTGCATCAAGAATAGGCTGCTACTTTAAGAGTGTGTTGTGTTCTAAAAATCATATTGATTCATGCTATTAAAGGCCATGTCTGAGAGAAACTTGAAAGCATTTAATATTGATTGATGACAGCCAGGCAGAAATGTCTTTTTTTTCCCCTTTATTAATGGTAGCTTCTGTGTGACTGGTAAGAATTATGGCCCTTCAGTTTGCATCCTTGAATACAGGATCACTTTGAGAGCCTAAAATGGTCAATGTGACCATCACCAGGTAAAGAGACTCACACCAAGGTAGTTTTTCTAAACCCTTTAAAAAACTCTCAGTCCAATCTAGCAGCAATCAGATGAACGTATTCTGCCCAATAATTTTTTCTAATCCTTAAACTTTCATGCCAGAACTGTGCAGGAATAGAGCAAGAGACTGGAAATAAAGCTCTGGGGCTTGGATCTAGTCACCAACAATGCAGAATTACAATTTCTAGTAGTTACACTGTGGTTTTGTTCAACTTTTGGGGTTGGTTTACACAAAAGTCCCCTTTCTTACCAGAATGCACCACAGATTAGTCACTTACTAGAAAAATACTTTAGAAAACAAACTTCACCCCCCTCAAAAGCAATTCAAGCCTAACTTAACCTAGATAAGGCCACTTCTCAGCCCCTTTAAGTCCTCTTAATCTTTCTAAATGTTTAGAGTTAAAATTACAATCTATGCCAATTAATTTCAACAGCACTTTGGAATATAACCACCCTTCACAGTCAAGACTCCTCAAAGAAAATTCACATTTCATCAGCTATTATTTAATAAAAAAGGAGATATAAAGCTTTTAAGAAATGGTACTAACTTTCTCACTCAAAAAGGACCCAAAAAAAGTACATACAACAAACTTTCAACTAAGCCTTGAAGCATTTGAAGAGCTGACAGCACAAGTTATCATACAAAAGACCCAATAAATGCTCTAAAGATCCTAATTTCTAAAGAGCTAAGTGGCACGACTGCTAAAACAGTCACAGACATGTCAGTATTTTGTCAAAATATTTTTTCATTGGTAAATTCTTGTTTTGTTAAGTCAAATTTAGGATAAATTCAACCAAATTCACAATGGCAAAAGTAGCAGCCGTTTCCTTTTTCTTTTTTTTAGGATTTTTTTTTGTATTCTATGTTTTTGTTGTACAAAGTCACTACATAAGTAATTTGGAACATTTTTTTCAAACAAAAATGTCTTTTCCTTTTCCCCCACCAAAGGATTGTTTAAAAACCCTACTCCTTCAAGACCTCCTGCTGCACAGATGTTTTGAAATGTTTGAAAGGCATCAATGGATCAAAACCAATTCTGAAACTTCCTGCAGAACACAAATCTGGAATTGTTTCCAGCTAAGGTGCAATACCTCAGAAGAAGAAATGTACAGTTATTTTTCAAGCAAGGCAAATTTTCAGCAGCTCAAATCAACAAGTTCCCTTAAATCAGAACAGACATCAAGATTCTGAGAAAATAATAAATCAGCATTCATGTATGTCATGACAAGAATGAATTTTAGATCAATTCTGCAAGCAGCTCCTTCAGCAGACTGATTAAATGGCCTAAAATTACTGTATTCTTTTTATTTAACTGTATTAAAGAACCAAGAATTTTTTAGCACAGAAGAAGAAAAAACCCACATACCTCACAAAAGTTTTGGCTGTTATTCTGACATCATGTCCTTCCTTTGGGCTACCCTGGGCTACTCACATAGTCATAGCTGATGTAATCTGAAAAGACATCACCAAATCCACTAGTAAAGCACTCTTGCTTCATCAGGAAAACAGCATTAAGCACAAATAATATACATGGATATCAGCACTTTGAAATACCCTGTGTGTACTGACAGCAAACAAGCTTCTGACCAAGAGGAAATAATTATGTCATCAAAGAACAAACTTGAACAGTGTTTCCAGTACCATTGTAACTGTCCTGTTTGTTGTCCAAGATGAGCTGGATATCCAGATTTTAGCATTACACATTAATGCATCCAAAGACCTACTTCTTTTTCCTGTTTGCCACTCCTATGTGACTAAGAGATATGCAAATATATGACCAAAAAAAAAGAGCTATGACTAAGAGTATGCAAAAAAATGATCTTGACTGTCTTCAGAGCTTACAGCAAGAGGTTTGGTTTCAGGTTATTAATAATAAGTATACAAACCTACCACCATTTTCAGAGTTGTAAAGTAAGATAGGAAAACTTGTTTTAACTCCAATATTGGACCAAGCTGTGGCAAATTTAAAATCAAGAAGCTACTCATTCCAGAATCTGTATGTAAAAAAAAAAAAATTGCCCACAACTATGCCAAAGGGAATACACAGAAAGCTTTCTTTGATAGAATTCCACCATAAATAATTACCATACTACTTATGAAGTACAAATCAGTGTAAGAATTGACATGTTGATGAGGAATTTCAAATCTGTGCCTGGTTTAAGCTGGCTACAGAAGTACCTAGGTTTAAAAAACTCCAGTTGTTTTATCTTCTAGTGTTTCAATTAAACTTTGTAACATGGAATTGCCACTCTTGTATTTGGAAGGTTAATTTAAATTATATTTTAAGAGTAATGTAAGGATTCTGGCATTTAACAGCTACAGAAAATATGAAACCATTCACTTGTAAAGGAAAGCTTCTGAAACTAGATTGTTGCAAAATAAAAATACTTCAAATACAACATTACTGATGGAGTTCTTCAGTATACAGTTTCAAATGTTCTCAATTCAAGGTGAGCTACACCAAAGCAGGCTTCCCCCAAAAATGAGAAGCCTCTTATTTTGATAAACCCATATCCTCTATAATAAGCCTCCAAGGTAATGCAGAGGCTTATCCTGCATGTATTCACTGCACAGAGCTAGTGACTGCTTTGTGTTTTGCTTTATAAATAAGCCTCCACACTTTTGTTCAACAAGTTTTCACAATATTGTGAAATCCACAATCATTAAGTTGTCATCGAGGTGGCATTCTGTGGAAGCTAAGGAGAAACACACAAAAAGAAGCCAGGTTGAGTGGATCACATTAATCTGCAAAGTCACCCACCCATTCTCTGAGGGAAAGATGACAAGCAATAGAAGATGATGTGCTAAGCCTCTGCAGGTGAAATACTGAAGTCAGAGTAATCAGTTCTGATAAGTGATAGCTGATTGACAAGACAGGGTCACGATTTGTTCAGTCAGTCCTCTGTCCCTAAATGCAATTCTCTGCAAAACTCCAGTGTTTACTGTAGCCTCGTTGGTTCTTGGCTTGCAGGAAGTGCCACCACAGTTCAGCTTTTGGAAGAATAATAGGTTTAGTCATTCTTATGTGCTTTCTCCCTCCCCTGCTTCTGCATGTTGTCCTCCTCTCCAGCTGCCACACCATCACCCCCCACCTTGGTCCTCTTCAAGGGGAAGAGGATCAATGTTTGAAAAGCACTCAGACTTTATCAGAGAGCTGAGCATCCCCACCGAGGTGCTCACAGCTTTCCTCTAG